ATTTCCTCAAAATAATTTGTTTAAAAGTAGTTTGCCGGTAATAAAATGATCCAGGGCATACCAACACATTTCCAGAATGTTATCAACGAAATGAGATAATGAAGATAATAGATGGATAATAATAGATAGATAGGATAGGCAACACACCCCCCCCCCCCTCACCGTTGAGGCTCTTGGGCTGCTGCCGGACCTCCACTGGTGTGTTTCTGCCGCAGCTCCTGCTCGCGCCGCTTGTTGTACTCCATCTGGTTGGTGAGCTCCGTCTGGTGCTGCGTGCGGATCAAGTCGGCCCGGGTCCGCTGCACAGAGCCCAGCTGCCTGAACTCCAGCTCCTGGGTGGACTCGTGGTGCCGCAGCAGCATGGCACACTCCAGATCCTTCTGGGTCTGCTTCTTGTTCAGGTCCTGGGGGAGGAAACACATGAGGGAGGACAGGAACATTAAGTGTGGTGTAGAAATTATTGCACTTTCCCTGAAACGGTCATTGTTTTTATGTATAATATATTTGAAATAGGAATGAGCTTTTATTTTCCAGTTATTTAAAAAACAAAGAAAAAATGGTTCCGTTTGATTTTGTATTTGGGTTGTTTTGAGTGCAATTTTGGTATTGGGTGTTGAATGGATGTATTCATGTTTGTTATTTTAAATACTAATAGAAATATTCCACTACATGGCCACACTCCGGTTATTTGCCATAAGAGAAATGATTGTGTTCTATTCAACAAATATCTTCTTTTGAGCACATAAACAGGAAATAGCCTAATTTCCCAAAAGTTTGACAACAATAATTCCACTGAAATATAACGATAAATAATGATTTGATTTTTTGGAATTATTTTTTTGCATACGAGCACCATTTTAAAAAACATTTATGAATTGTATTTATCTATTTTTATTTTTATTTATTCTTTATTTATTTGGGTTCACATTATAGTACAAGTACAGTTTTTCAAATCATATATTTTTAGAGACCCGAAAGTGACAAATGAAATAGCAAACAAAAGGGGTTGTTTGAAATAGCAAATGTCTACACATGTACATATGCATACATATATATACACTCCATACACATACACACATACATGTGACCATATATACACATCTATACATATACATTCAATCGGTGTATAGAAACATTCAAACAAGGGATGGTTGTCTTTGGGATATGTAAATTCTCCACTTTCTCCATATTTCTTCAAATGTGTTTTCCTGAAGCCTCATTGAGAAGGTGATTCTTTCCATAACATAGATTTCATGGATTTTGTCGTACCAGTTGTCAAGAGAAGGGATATCCGCTTTGAGCCATTTTCTAGTTATTGCTTTTTTTGCTGCAACAGTAAGAATTCCAAATAATTGTTTTGTTTTGGAGTTTGTGGGGATTGAATGTACGAGCCCAAATAGAAATTCGTCCCAGTTTAAAGGGATTTTGTCCTGTAGTATTATTTCAATTTCATTATGGATCTTTTCCCAAAAAGTTACTATTAAAAGGGGAAGCCCAAATTATCTATTTATTTTCAAATTTTGTTTTTCCTTTTTTAAGTTGCATATCACTAGAATATTTGCATTGTTATTGTTAACTGTGTGTGAAAACTCAACTTTAGTTTGAAGATGGAGAGGGAATGCTTCATTTTTGCTGATACACATTTCAGAAAGATCAGTCTTATGTCTACTATATTCAACTGTTGTGTTTTTTAATATTGTTGTTGTTATTATTATTATTATTTGGATTTGAGGTGCGGTACCTCTCTCAGCAGGTCCTGCTCCAGGTTGTGGCGAGCGAGCAGCATCTTCCTCTTGTACTGGCGGCACTGTAGCTCGTAGTACTGCCGCTGCCTCCGCAGCAGGCTGGCCTCCTCCTCCGCCTGCATCTGCTGCAGACACTCCTTCTGACGGATCAGCCACTCCTGCTTCTCCCGCTTCGGAGTCGACTGGTTCTCATTCAGCTCCTGGGAGTCCCGGCAGAGGAGAAAGTAAGAGACCAACGTGAGAAAAACTGTGTGCAAGAACAGTTTGAAAATATATATAACATCAGTCCTGCCAGAATAAAGAATACATCATCTTTAACATGATGACAACATCACTGTGCAAATATAAACATAAATAAATAAAATAATAGAAAGTCAATGGTTTTTATTTTGCATACTGTAATTTTTAATAAAACAATACTGCATTTCTATTCAAACCTTTTACTTTCCCAAAAGCATTTTTTACTAAATGATTAATCACACAAGCAATCTTTCATTGTATTCAATCATGAAAATAACATTTAACTGAGTGAGTGAGTGAGTGAGTGAGTGAGTGAGTGAGTGAGTGAGTGTGTGTGTGTGTGTGTGTGTGTGTGTGTTCTGACCTCTTTCAGCTGGTCCTTGCGCTGGCGGTACTGCCGTTTCTGTGACTCCAGTAAACTGGTCAGCTCTTTCTTCTGCTGGCCCAGGATGTGCTGCTGGAACTTCTTCTCTTCAGCCAGAGCTGCTTTAGTCTGCAGGAGGTCAAAGTTCAGATTTCAAAATACAACTTTAGTGCTTATTCTCCAGAGATGGGTGATGATGATAATAATAATAGATGACATTTGTATAGCGCCTTTCAAGGGACCCAAGGCCGCTTTACATGGTAAACAAACAAATAATAAAGTAAAACATGGATTAAATAGCAGTATGAGTGGAAGCAAGGGGGCTGTGAGGGTTAGGGGTTCAAAGGCCATATGATATATTGAATATTCTCAATGTAAGATGGCTTGTATAATAATTGATCCTTTTATAAATGCCGGCAAACAGTATTTTTGAGAACATTTATTTAATTAGTATTTAATTATATATTTTGATGTGTTCATATATTTTTGACAAACTGACCAATTTTTTTATTGAATGTAAAATTGTGTTGACTTTCACATGAAGTCTGTTTTTTATTGATATTAATAAATAAAACAAATGAATAAACGTGACATAATAAATCAAAACAAGCATTTTAGTATGTGAATAATTAGTCAAATTAAATAATAAAGAATGTTTTCCCAAAGACAAATCTGATTTCAGAATTAAAGGAGACAACCAGAGTCACTGATGTGGATTTTCAAAACTAAAGCCCACTATGTCCTGTTCAGTTGTTTTTTTGTTGCATAACCTAAAAATGTCTAAACATGATTCCTTACTCATCATAGCCTACTCCTAGATAGCAACACAGCAGCACTTCCATGTAGTGCTATATAACCGTACGAACACCCACTGATCCTGTGGTTGTTGTTCTAGGTAAATTCCACTGAAAGGTGAAGCTCTGTGGTCACCTCTTTCTCCAGGATGGCCTGGTGCTTCTTGGAAAGCTTGTCAGCCTCGGTGGAGAAGCTGTTCCTCTGGTTCTCCAGCTCTTTGTCCAGCTTCAGCTGGTGCTCGTCCATCTCCGCCTTCAGCTTGTTCTCCAGCCCCATCAGCTGCTTCTGGTGCTGCCGCCTCATGCGCTTGTAGCCGGACATCTGCTCTCTGAGCGCAGAGCCCTGCTCGTGTTCCTGGATCTGACGGGTCACCTGGAGGGAGGGAAGGGGGGGGGGGTTCAGTTCATGAATTAAAGTGTGGATCTACTTTATGAAGGGTCATGTCGCACAAATCACAAAACTTTAGGATATCTTCATTTTTCAATTAATTTTTCCTTATTCTAGTCTTGTGTATAAAAATATCCCCCCACCCCCCCAGAACCTCCACTCAGAGCCCCCCCACATATCAAATCCCAATGTAACCCCTGCTAATAGCTATCAATATTTCCTTACTCCTTTTTCATTTTAATGTTCTTAGAATTAAAAATAATTCTCTCTCTTATTGCTTGTATATTCATGTGCATTACATGTGGCTATAATGTCAATGAATGTTATAAATAAATGAGCAAAAACCTAGCCAAATCCTTGTTCTCTGGTTTGACTCATTGTGCAAGGAGCAGGAAGAGCGTGAACTATTGCAAGAGCCTCCTCTATGGTTTGCCTGCAAAAATCCTCAACCAACTTCAATACATCCAGAACTCCGCCGCCCGTCTACTCACCCAGACCCGAATCCGTGACCACATCCCCCCCGTCCTCATCAAGCTCCACTGGCTCCCCATCCCCCAGAGAATTCGGTACAAAATCCTCCGCATGACGTACAAAGCCCTCCATAACCTGGCCCCATCCTACCTGACTGACCTCCTCCACAGACACACTCCCACTCGCTCCCTCCGCTCTGCTACTGCCAACCTCCTCTCCCTCCCCACCCGGACCAACCTCAAGTCCTGGGGCGGCAGAGCCTTCTCCGTTGCTGCACCCACCACCTGGAACTCATAACCCAATATCAGAGATTCTTCTCCCATCACAGCATGTCAAACCATCACTCAAACCCACCTGTTCAACACTGCATTCAACCACAATGACCGCCCCCCCCCTATTTTGTTTATCTCTTCTTGTATTTCTTAATTTTTTTTTTGTTGTTTTTTTTTTTTATTCTCTGTCAAAGCGTCTTTGAGTTCCTAGAAAAGCACTATACAAGAATCATGTATTATTATTAATATTATTATTAACTCACCAAGGAGGCGGTCCTGATGGTGGCGAAGTGGTCCCGGTTGCGGTAGTAGGCTCGGCGGCGTCCGGCTGAGGGAACCTGCGGCTGCTCCATCTCCGGCTGGTAGGGGTCATCGTAGATGTTATCCTGACCCTGGGGAATAGGTGGGGGGAAGCATTGGAATTTTTCATCAAAAATGCTTTATTGCAAATAAAATACATTTGGATTTGAAATGTCCATTAAAAACGTGTTTGCAAATCAAAACTGGAGTTTAAAAAAATGACTACTGAAACTTTTTTTAAATTCAAAAACATTGAAACACAAAGAGAGAAGTTATTCAAATCAAAATACTATATGAAAATATGGAGGTAGATTTGTCTAAATTGTAATTGTGAAAAACTATTGGTGTGTAAATGTGTAATCTGTAAATGTTGTAAACTAATTATAGTATTCACAGACTTCCTTTGTATATGTGGAATACATTTTTGTGAGTTTATACTTTTTTATTTTGCATTTGTGAAAGGTGCTTTTCATACATTTAAATAGATTATTCATCTGTTCACACAAATAATATTGAGATAAAACTACCAGCATATAAATCCCTTGGGGTAAATGACAGGTTACAGGACACGGACCTCAAAACTGACAGTAGCTGTTGCCAAGCTGTCCCTCAAATCCAACTGGCCAACAGAGTCTTACACAAGAAACTCATGGAAAATCAAATGTTTATGTTTGTGCACTTTGGGTCAAGGCAGATGTGTTGTTGTTACCGTGGGTCTGTGGATGATGGAGCTGTTGGAGGTGACGGTGTGCTCGCCCTCCTGCATCATGGCCATCTCGTTGCTGCTGTCGTCGGAGGCGTCGACCAGACTGTTGACGGAGCTGCTCTGAGAGCTGGCTGAGATGGACATGCTGGGCACCGACTGGGAGCTCTCCATGCTGTTCACTGTGCCTGTCCGCAGCAGGTACTGCTCCACCTCCACACACACACACACACACACACACACACACACACACACACACACACACACACACACACACACACACACACACACACACACACACACTAAATACTTCCGCTCCTCATGATGTCAAGATTTAACCATTGTTCCACCTTTTTTTCTTAATGATGTATCCCTCCAAAGACCTGTAAGGCCCATACGTTACACGTCTCCTCGCTCCTCACCTCCTCGTCGTCCCCTCCCTCAGAAACGGGGCCGTTCTGCTGGGTCTCGTGGAAGAGGATCTTCTTCATCTTGCGGTACTGCAGGTTGTCCAGCTCTCTCACTGCATCCTTGGTGCGTGCGATCAGGTCCATGACCACAGTCATCGGACGCTCACGACACAAGAAGCGATGCTGCGTTAGAAAGGATGGAGACGGCATGTAAGCAAGACTAATGCTGAGAAGGCTATTGTGTGGTGTTCAGTGGGCAGGTCAACCATATTTTCCTTAGTTGACCCCTTTTTTTAAGATTTACTTTAATGTCATTAAAATCTGAAGGGTGATCTATTATAACTTTAAAGTGATTTAAGCGTGTCTCCAGTGCATGCTGCAAGACTTCCTCACTAGGAAGAACGTCTTTTAAGGATTGGTCAATAACATCATACATATACGGATAGTTTTTACAGACTTATGGTCACTTTCTTTGAAGAAATGTTAGCCTAAGTAAAAGAAAAAGTGGCTGAATTGATGCTGCTTATTATGTGAGGCAGCGGTCTCAGCCCCGAGAGCAACATAAAAAACGGTCAACAATATCTTCTATCTGAGGCAAAGACACAAAAACTAATTTGGTCAAATTGCGTTGTTCATATTCAACATTTGCATTCTTTATTTAACTCTGCTGTCACTTCAGGGAAGTCACTGGAAGCCATTTCTATTTAGTTATTATTTAAAAAAATGTAAATAAATGAATGATTCACAATTCAATTCATTTACATATACCTCATCATCAAAGACAAATATACCGGTTAATAATAGATACATCAACATTACAGAGAGCTAGAAAGTGCAGACTCTGTTAGTGAAATAATGATTTGTTTAGTTCTTACATTCAGCAGCACGTCAGAGGTAGGCCGGTCCTGGGGAATCTTCTGTAGGCAAGAGTCAACAAAGTTGCGGAAGGAATCAGACCTGCAGAGAAAAATAATGGATGTTATTATTTATTTTAAAAAATCATCACAGGGAAAGCTGTGAAAGGGTGTTAAAAATCAGAGAGCAGCAGTGGTTGTTCATCATTTAAGTGCTTTAGATATTTAACATAGAAAACTGCTTTATTCATTTATTTATTTGAACGTTCATTCAGGAGACAGAAATGTCCTCACCAGTGATTGGACTGCAGGATGGGACTTTCATTCTGAGCGATGTGATATAAGGCACTCATAGCATTCATGTTGAACAGCGGGGGCTTCCTCTCCGCTGGGGAAAGGAAACGGCACAATGTCAAAAGATATAGATTTAGAAACAAAGTCATGGCGATTCATTTTTAAAAAGGTACTTGCAGTAACACAGCTTTGATATATCTAATCTCAAACTGTTTCTATATTAAATCCGGATTAGAACAATCATAAATAAATCATAGACTGCATATTAGCCCAAAGAGACGCAATAAAATGAACCCTGATTTATCCAAGTTTTGTAAAAAGTGCAAAAAAAACATTCTTGACAGATGATCCCCTCAACACTCATCACATCTGGTTTCATCTGATTTAAGCGTGCATGTTGTACCCAGTTCAATGGAGGTGATGCCCAGCGACCACACGTCCACTTTGCCATCATATTGCCCCTCGTCCATGGCCAAGATCACCTCTGGAGCCATCCTGGAAAATAAAAAGCACAGTAGATGTTATAGAATATTAAAGAATTTCATAGAGCTACTTCTACTCTCAATTTTTTTTTTATATCCATATTTTGCCCACCCTTCTAAAGAAATAAGAAAATAAAACCTACAATACAGGAAAGGGAAACCACCACAAAGCACAATGGGCCCTTTAAAGAAAGTAAACTTTAAAGCACAATAAGGGGCGATAATGCCGGTTTAAACTTCCCTAAGAGGAGGAGTTATTTTCTACACGTGTCTTAGGCCCCACTTACACGAGGACGAAACGGGTACGTTTTATTTTACGCACCGAATTCGTTGAAAGGGGACCTATCATGCAAAATGCACCTTTGTACGTCTTTTATACATGAATATGTGTCCCTGGTGTTCCAGGGAACTCACCAAGTGTCAGACAACACAACCCTCTCTATTTTCCTCCTTAGCCAAATCTCTAAAAAAGGGGCTGCAACGGATCTGAAAAAACGGATCCAGATTTCAACACTTTTCTACGTCACAAAGAGGTGCTCCGCTTATTGGTCAACTCTCCACCTATCAGGGGAATGAGCCACGGACATGTGCATTGCCAAACCTCTCATTCGCATATACTGTAGGACGGATTTCCGTCCATTCGGCTATTCAAATGTTAACGAAACGGACAAACTTCCGTGCACATCAGCGGCTGTCGGATTAAAACAGTTTAATGCACTTTTAACACTCACGTACCCAGGATTCCTGCTCCTTTCCTGGGTTACAAAGTGAGGTGACGCAGCCTGCTTGCCGCTGCGCTCTGCCTCTATCCACAAAACTTTCCCCCGCCTTTCAGAGACTTATTGCTGGGTCAAACTCTAAGTTACAAACTGTACACATTGCATTCTTGCTAATTTGCCAAAATATGAACGGAATAAGTAGCAAGCATCGTAACAAACAAAGTAAAATAAATAGGGACAACAGCTTGTCAACAATACTTGCCAACCTTTAGACCTCAGAAATCGGGAGCTGCTAAATTGGTGGGGGGGTGCTAGTGGATCGCCGGAGCTGTTAGATTAACATTAACATGCTTATTGTAGTTGTAAGTGCACTGCCTTGCGGCCTGTAGCACCGTCTTTGATGGAGCATATGTGTGGGCTGGACCTGTATTTTACAGGAATTGAGTGAGCAGAGAGTAGAGCAGTTGTCGATTCTTGTTCTGTTTTCTGTGAATATCTGTCTCACCCTCTCAGACTTTGAGTTGCGCGCGCTACTAAAGAGACGTGTTACCATGGAAACCAAACAATGGTGTAGCTGTATTAAAGTCCGAGTGGAAACAGTCGTGTGTAAATCTAATTTTGTCAGAAATCGGGAGAAAT